AACTTATTTAAAAGTAGTTTTGCCACGAAAGTGGGAAATTAATTAAGGTACGAACCAACAAGCGAAAGCTGCGGCAAGACCAGATAGTAAACACTAGGCATTTGTTTTAATAACAGTGAAAGCACTTTAAAATGGATTAGAACCTAGAGATTTCCAAAAAGTAGTTTTAACCCCGAATGGGACAGCGAAAGCGTACATTCGACCCTTAGAATTATGACTAGCGTCAACAACCATCGTGAGACGAAAGTCTTCAGATCACTATTTTCTTCTGAACAATGTTTGTAAAGAGTAAGAAGCATCGGTGACCCGTCGAATCTCAGATAACTAAGTCTTTGCATACCGATATCCTTTACCGCATTTCTCTAAACCAATTTTCTTTATTTCTTTTGCATTTAATTTCATTCGCATTCAATTTTCCTAATTCCAATAGCCTTAGCTTTACGCCGTAATAATAGATAACGGTAGATTGACATTGGTCTCTGTGGGTTCGACAATCTTTTATATTACTTCGATATTTCCGTGCACTTGCGGAGCGATCACGCGTCCATCGCGAGGATCGTATTTTTCGAGGTACGACATAGTCACTAAAAACAAAACCTAAAATTATGATTTATGTTGCTTTATAATGTTTTGTATGTTAAATTAACTTTTAATTAAGAACAAAAGTAGAAATTAGATTTGTTGCAAAACTACTGTTCATGTTGCTTTTCACTACTATTCACGTTAATTGTATTCTTATTATGTATAGAGAAAAACTAAAATTAGTTATTGTAACATAAAATTGGCTAATAATATTATGTAGTATAATAGGAAAATAATTATTAGTAACATAAGTTTTGATTTGCTATAAAGATTCTTAATTAATTTGGGATTGAAATTATATGTTTGATTTGTTTTAAAAATTCTTAATTTATTTGTTCTGATTTTGATATGATTTATTTTATTTGTTATAAATATTTTAATTTAATTTATTTGTATATGGATTTATAATTAGAGTAAATTTTACTGTTTAATTTGTTATAGATGACTAACGAAGACATAAGAATCAAGTATATGAAATTGGTTCAAATGATGATTCTTCAAGTATTTATCATTATTGTTCTAATATGTTCGCTAAAAAACAAGCGTAAAAGATCTCAAATACCTTATAGAATCACAGAGCAAAGAGAGAAAGTTAGAAATGAGTTGATGAAACATATTGTAGGAAGTGAGAGATATTATGATATCATTCGTATGGGTCCCAAAGCTTTCTTAAACTTGTGCACCTTATTACAAGATCAAGGTGGACTTACACATACACGAAGAGCGTCTATCAAAGAACAAGTAGCAAAGTTTCTTCATATAGTAGGACATAATGTTAGAAACCGTGTGATGTCCTTCTTTTTTAGACGCTCTGGTAAAATTGTTAGTCGTCATTTTCATAGAGTGCTAGATGCTTTGATAGAGGTGGAGGGAAATTTTTTAAAACAACCTGATGGAACACAAGTGCCTCCGCAGATACTTAACAACCATAGATTCTACTCGTATTTTAAGGTAAACAAATTTTTAAAACAAAATTTAAAACAATTGATTAGTTTTCTTATACAATTTTAATATATAGATTTAATGTCAGAGCTGTATTAGAGCAATTGATTGCACGCATGTGCGTGTTAAAGTTCCAATAGAACTCGCACCTAGATACCGTGATAGAAAAGATTATCTCACACAAAATATGTTAGATGCGTGCTCATTTGACTTGAAATTTACATATGTCTTGGTTGGATGGGAAAGAACTGCTTCTGACTCAAGAATAGTTAAGAGTGCGTTGACACGTGCACACCCTCTTAAAGTTCCACAAGGTAATAAAAAGTAATAAAAAATATTTGTATAAGTATTTAGATTAGTTAAACTAATGGACTCATTATTTTTTAAAGGAAAATATTATCTGGGTGATGCGGGATTTCCTTTAAAAGCATGTCTCATTACACCGTATAGGGGAGAACGATACCACTTACAAAAATACTCTAGAAATCCACCTCGAAACCCTCGTGAGTTATTCAACCATCGATATTCGTCATTACAAATGTCCATTGAATGTGCATTTGAAGTGTTGAAGAAAAGATTTCCAATTTTACAAACTGCAACAGAGCCTACATTTGGTATTAAAACTCAAAATAAAATCATCCTTGCTTGTTGCATTTTACACAACTATTTGATGGGTGAAGACCCCAATCAAACTCTAATTGATGAGGTGCAAGATGAGCTTGCAAACGAAAGAGATGTTCAAGAGGGTCATCAAGATCCTAGAGAAGAAAACAATGATATGATTAGCGGAGAGCCAATTAGAGATAATGTTGCTGGTTCTATGTGGCTAGATTATTAAAATTATTCTTAATGATTTGTTACTCTTATGAATAATGTTTTGAAGAATTTTATTTGGATTGAATTTTTTATTTGTAATTTGTGGAATGAATTTTAGTGTATGATGAACCTTTACATTTGAATTTGTGCATAAGTTATTATATTCTTCATTGTGTTTTTTTAATAATAGACATGAAAGCAAGTTTAAAGAGGCCGAGGAAACTCAAAAGTTTAGAAACATGCAATTGGACAACTGCTATGGATGAAGTTTTGCTTGATGCATACTTGCATCAACAAACATTGGGAAATAAAAATGGTAATAGCATGATAGCAAACGCTATGGATAACATTCTTAAAGAATTGAAGACCCACTTTTTGGACAAACCAATTTCCAAAGAAAAAAATAAAAGATCACATGAAGCACATCAAAACAAAGTTCAATTCTTGTTATGACCTTTTCCAGAATGACTTGAGTGGGTTTGGATGGGATTTAACAACAAATATGTGGATTGCCGAAGATGAAGTTTGGAACAAGCTAATTGAGGTATTATTTACTATAATTGTTTTATACACTTACCCGATTATTTTTATTTGAGTTCACTTATTAAAAACTTTTTAAGTGATGCATTGTTTCGTTTATTTTGGTGTAGGCAAAACCCGAAGCTGCTGAATGAGAAAACAAGCCAATATTATTTTATGATAAATTGGTCAAACTTTTTGGAAAAGATCGAGCAACAGGAGAGCATGAAGGTACAACTGCTGAAATGAGAGTAAAAAAGGCTGCAAATGTTGAAAAAAGTCATGGCACAACCATCGAAGAAATAGACCACTTAGTTGAAATCAATGAAGTTATTTTGGAGGGATTTGATGATGATGAACATCATTCCAACAATTCTCCTACAAGATCTTCTATTACCAATTCTCAAGATGTATCATCATCTAGGACTAAGAAGGGAGTAAAAAGGTTATTGAAGATGATACAAACATGATTGAGATTCCCAAAACTTTCAAAAAAATGGTTGATGTGTTTGAAATGAATTCCATGGAGTTGGTCAAACAGAGTAAAAATGCTAATGGTGGAGATATTTGGGCTGAATTGGTCGAGATTGGGGTTGAACCAAGTTCTTTGCCTCTTGTATACAAGTACCTTGTTAAGAATGCCGATGCATTGAAAGCTTTTAATGGAATTTCAATCGATAAGCGGAAGGAAATGTTACATCTCATTGTTTCAGACTATCCCTTTTGATAATGGTAACATATTTATTTATCACTTTTGAGTATTTTTTTATCTTTAACGAATGAAATATTTGCGTAATTTATTTTATTTTATTTTTGCAGGTTTTGTGGAATGCTTAAAGAAGATAGTCATTATCTATTATGGATCAAAATTTATCTTTTTTATTAGCAAGACTTGATATCATTATCTACTATAGACATATATTTATCATTTAATTTTAGCAAAACTTGATTTTATTTATGAATTACTATGAATATCCAGTATGGTGTTGATCAAAACTTGTGCACTTAGTCTTTGCAATTTCAAGTTATAATAATCATGTTTTATTTATGAACATTTTAATTTATTACTGTATGTTTTAATTTCTTTCAAGTGTTAAGTTGATATTTTTCTATGATTACTTATATATTATTTTAGTGTGAGAATGTTGAATCTATCAATATTGTAGCAAAGAGTAAAAATGGAATAAAAAAGTTATAATGCTTTCCGCTCCATCCAATTCTCAAACAGTAGAATGAGATATTAGTTCCGCTCCGTTGTAAAATATTAAAACAGTAGAATGAAGTTTAATTTTGTTCCATTCCACTCCATCATATTCTGTTCCGCTCCAATTCGTTATTTTTAAATTATTCAAACATAGCCTTAAGAAGAAATATACTTGTGTTGAGTATCTAACTAAACATGTAAGAGCATCTTTAGTGGGAGTAATATCTTAAGTGGGTAAACTAAGATATTTTTTGTGGGTCCAAAGTGATTTGTAGAATTTAAAAAATTTATAGTTGATTTGAGTTGTTTTTACTTTAATGATAGTTGCTTATAAAAAATTAAAACTTGACCATATATTTTATATTATACGTGGGTCCAAAGTGTTTTTACTTTAATATTATATATTTTAAAATAAATAGCATACGATAGATATAGAATTGTCGGAAACTAAAAATTAATAAATTAAATGTTATGTTATAGCCATTCTAATACAAATTTTTTATAATCATCGTTAATTATAAAAAATTTAACTATTAAAAATCTGAATTAAAGATGCTCTAAGAAGTAATGATACAATATTGATAGGAGCCTTTTGTTAGAATCATCAATTTCCAACCCTATGATTCTAATGAAATTTTATTTTCTTAGATAATTTTTTCTTTTTTTTCTTTTTCTTTTTCAATTCTCCAGAAATAAAAAACAATCGAGGTTTACTAAAAAAAATAACCCACCGTAGCAAATTAACATATATCTTTTCCAGGACCGCTTACTACGGCAGTGACACACCTTCCACCTCGCGGCAAGGAAGGTATCTCTCCGCGACCGTCAATAGCTGCCAAGCACGAGCCACCACAACAGAACGAGCACCACCGCCGTCAGATAACGGAAATTGCGATTCACATGGACCGACTTAACAAGTCACTAGAGTAACGAAAGAATGAGTAAAAGACCACCACCTGATCCTGTGGCAGTTCTTCGAGGCCACCGCGCTTCAGTCACCGACATTTCCTTTCATCCCTACCAGCCTATATTATTCTCCGGGTATTTACTTCAACATTTTCATCAATTTTTTTCCCATCTGATAGTGCTTTTCTTAAAGCTCTTCTATTCCGCAGTTCTGCTGACGGCGAACTCCGAATTTGGGATACATTTCGACGCCAAACAGTTTCATCAGCATGGTATTTAGTTCTACAACTCTATACATGACTTGTTTAGATAATCTACTTATTTTAGGGTTAATAGCATAAGTGCTTATTTTAAAGTTTTTTGTAACAGAAGGTAAAATAAAGTTAAATTGTTATTGCATTATGCAAAATTGTTTTCTTAGGGAGTTTCTGAAAATAAGCTGAAAATAGTCTATGGACATGTTTCTATATATTCTCAGAAATATAGTCTCACAAGTGCTTTTATCGGTAGATGAACTCGAATTAGTCGATTCAAATTTCAAACTTAGTTATAAATTGGATTTTCAAGGATCATGACATGTGATTTATTTTTGCATTTAAGGTTACACAGTGCCGCGCATGGGATTGTTGCTGTTGCCAGTAGTTCTTCACTCGGAACCAATAAATTTGTGAGGTGCGTCCTTTCATCCTAACCTTTTGTCTTTCTGCATGATATTCTTGCTATATTGAAATTTAATTTTATCATATATTCGTGTATAGCCAGGGTAGGGATGGAACTGTGAAAGTTTGGGATTTTGACGATGCTGGTTTGTCTAGGTAGGTACTGGCATTTGCTTCTTCAACTTTACAATACGCTATTCTCTTTTCGTTTTAAATGGACAGTGTGTTTTGCGATAAAAGCTATTGAGATATTAATATACTATTATTATTTATACCATCTTACAGTTTTTTTGATCTGCATCCTCCCTTTCCAGGATTCCATCCGTTACAATCAAGACAAACAGTTACCACTTTTGTAAGTTTTCCCTGGTTAAGAATCATTCTACTTGGTTAAAAGAAGGGGAGGCATCAAAAGATTGCCTTGAAACAGAAGAGGCTCATACTAATCAAAGTTCTTCTGAAAGCTCTGAAGGTTGGTGAGTTATATTTAATGTGTTTTAATAGCTTTTGAATTTTATCCTGGATGTTTTGTCATCCTGGAACTTGCTACTTGAATTTGGAATTCCTACTACTGTTTACAATAGGAGAATAACATGACATCATTGAATTGTGAGGATTTCAATACAAACGTTAAAAAAACGAATTTGATAGTGTCACATTGGCCAGAAGTATGTGGAATGGTAGAACTTTATTGTATAACTAGTATTGTTTTTGTCTTTCACAACCCCGCCTACTTTCGGAGCATAAGTATAGCTATTTCTGGAAAATTTATTGCTAACAGCGTGCATTAGTAAATTTAGGCAATAGCCGTATCTGAATTTGTAAGGAAGAATTTGAACAAATTTAATGCTGCTGCTGTTGTCATTTTTGTTTTATTTATCAAAGAATATAGGTTGGTGTAATCTCAGATTTATTAGATTTGGTTCACTTTTGCAAGTACTGATTGATATTTGTTAGTATGTTATATTTAACTTCTTTTTGAACAAGGCTCTCTCTCCCGGCGTCTTCTCACTTATTTTTGAAAAGTTGCTATGGCACTTTGGAGATGCTACCATCATGGACCAAATTCTTTATTTTGCATTTCTATGTTGTTTCCTTTTATATTCTTCAAATGTTATTACATGCTTAATGTTTTACACAGATTTTGACAAAACCATCTTTCTTGTTAAATATTTATGTACAGGGCTACCGTATGTGGCTTTGTCAGGGGAGAACTCTTCTGAGGTAGGTATACCTGTCTATTGATACATTATCTTCATCTTTTGTAAAATGTGGACCTCAACTTATCGCTAATCATTTCTATCATTGCTAAAGCCAGGTTGAAATTTGGGATCTTAAGTCAGCTGAGAGATTTGCACGAATCCCTTCAAATATTGGTAGTAACTCTTCAAGTGTTAGCAGTAAAGGTAAAGACTTGTTTCTAGTCTATATGATTTGCTATTCAGCTTTCTGCCATCAGTTTTTGAAATTCTCATTTCTCAGGTTCCACAGTTCTGTCACACAGCCATGCATACATATATATATATATATATATATATATATATATATATATATATATATATATATATATATATATATGTGTATGTATGTATGTATGTATGTATGTGCGTGTGCACTTTTGTGTGTGTGAGAGATTCTGACTCTATCTTTTAAGTTGAATGTCCATCACACTTTGCGTTGTTGCTTGAGAAACTAATAGAACAACATCAAACCTTTTATCGATGTTTGCATTTTTTCATATTAATGCACTTTTTACACCGTTTTTCTTCTTCTAAACATTATGTTGCTTATAATTAAAAGGTAAACCTTGGCTAGATTTCAAATTCTTTGGTTGTATTTTCTCTCTATAAAACTAATGCAATCTTTTCTTGCCAGGGATGTGCATGGCACTTCAATTGTTTGTACCATCTGAATCACAAGGATTTTTAAATGTCATAGCTGGGTATAATCTCTCTCTTTCTCTCACACATACACACACCCTAGTACACATTGAAGAGGTGCTGCATTATGAGTGAGAGGAATAAATCTTGGTCATTAGATTAAGTATGAATTGTCAGGTTGTTGGCTGAATACATGTAAACTTCTAATATAGACCATCCACATGAAGTTTAATGGTAAAGATCTGTTTCTCATATATTTCATAAGAGCATACCAATATTAGAACTTACTTAGGGGTTGCAAGATTGGATGACATTCATCGCTTCCAAAGCCGCCTGATCCAGACACAGCGGTGAAGGGTGGAGCGTCATCTTGTTAGGGCGAACAGGTGCTGTCAAAACAGCCGGAACCATTGGAACGGTCAAAACCTCCAAATGTAAGTTCACTGGCATGTGGGATGGGTGATTTCCATGGGAAACACCAAAATTTTCAACCATTTAATATTATATGGAGGCAAATCCGGGAGCCATATATTAAAAATATTGGGTTTGAGACAAAAATAAAGCATAACACCACCGATGAGGTTAAGCAAGAGGTCCATGGCTTCACAAAATAATATCAGTAACAGGAAATGCCCGAAGACAAGGTTGGGCGAGTCCATTTAGTAGGTCTTATGAGTCCAACCCATTTTAATGGACATGTTCTCAAGCCTATTTCTCTTCTGTAGTGCAGAAAGTGAGAATATGAGAAAATTGTAGTGCAGAAACTGCTCGTAGACACACCATCATTTCTCTTCTGTTTTGTATTTGGAAAATATAAATTCAAAGCTTTCAACAGTGGGTTAGACCTCTCATTAAGGAATTGAGGGAAAAAACTGTTCAGTTCTGTAGCAATTATTAGGAAGAATTATTATAATATTAGGAAATTATTATATAATTAGGAGCAATTACATTTTATTAATTCTGCGTATTTATGTTCAGAATAAATAGGGGAGAATTTATCATCTGAGAATTATGGAGTGGTTAGTTGGAGAGACCCAAGCTCTTGAAACATTTGGGAAGAGGAGAGACCCAAGCTCTTGAAACATTTGGGAAGAGGAGAGACCCAAGCTCTTGAAACATTTGGGAAGAGGAGAGAACCAAGCTCTTGAAACTTGGCAGGAGCACTGTCTCCTGCACTGTACTGTCACTTTTCAGTTCTGCACAAATGTGTGATCGAATGTTCTATCTCTTATTTGGGAATCTTTTCCCAAAGAGTATACAATAATAATCGGTTATTCAGTTGTCTATCCTATTGATACCAGTTTCTATCAGAGGATTTATTATCAACCCTTATATTAAATTAAATAGCTGAGATTAAAAGGCAACTTAAGTTAGTCACAGTACTTTCTTCTTCTGACTTCACAGCCGCACTACCTTCTCTCTCCCAATATCCCACACCTTTGACACCTAAATCGTTTTCTCTTCCCTCTCTTCCGTCCCATCTCTCAAACGCCAATTCATCTACCTCTATCATATGAATCTGGTTATTTACAAGGCAAGTTACAGTAGATCTGTAACTGCCAATCTAATAAGTTTTAATATTAACTCAGATTCCATTATTAACAGAATTCAATTTGAACCTACTGATGAAGCCTAAACACACCAAGCAGCTACTATAAACCCAACGGAATAGGAGCCTCTAACTTTGCAAGTAGATTTTTGATAGACAAGTTAAAAGGATTCAATTAAAGGATGGTTAAAAATATTCAAAATTTATTAGAATTGCTAAAACTATTTCAATCAAAAGTGTATCTGCAGAAATCACCCTTGTATGATTTTTTGAAAGAAAAAAACAAAATAGGCATGTGGCTACATTAGTAATATAAATATATGTATTAGGTTGAGCTATATACTATCTTATATTCCGAGTGTTGTAGATATGAAGATGGTTCAATGCTTTGGTGGGATGTACGGAATCCTGGATCTCCAATAAGTTCTGTGAAATTCCATTCTGAGCCAGGTATAGAATAGACATCAGCATCCTTAGATGACTCAAGAGTTTCAAAATAAGTATTTAGTCAATAGCGGATTATTTTGTAGTTCTGAGCATCTGTATTGACGGGTCTTGCAAAGGCGGTATCTCGGGAGCTGCAGATGAGAGGATTGTGATGTATAGCCTGGATCATTCTTCGGTAACTTGATTTTTAATTTTCTCTTCTTCCAATTGAACATCTGATCCTATAAATGTTATTTTTATTCATTGATTATTTTCAATCTTAATGTTGGTAAGCGGCACCTGATCCTGCTTATTTATACTTCTTTTCATATTCGCGAGTCATTTTGATCGTAGGGTACATGTGTGGTCAATAAAGAAATCAAATTGGAGCGGCCTGGCATCTCAAGCACCTCAATTCGGCCTGATGGCAAAATTGCTGCAACAGCTGGCTGGGACCACAGGTTTTTAATTGCATTAACAGTTTAAGCACCCCCTAAAAATAACTGTTGTAAGAAAAGTTGGCATTTCTTGATGGTCCATAATAAGTTGTTAATATTCTTGGCATGAACTTCAAAAAATACTTGGATAGTTGGTACAAATCCTGCTGTTTAATTTCTGTCTGTCTATTTATTGGCAGAGTAAGGATATATAATTACCGTAAAGGAAATGCTTTAGCTGTACTCAAGTATCATCATGCCACGGTAAGTCACTGTTTTCTACTATCATATCTGATACAGTTTGAATGTGTAAATAATTTTACATTATCATTATTATTAATTTTATTGATATGTTTTTTGTCTGCCATGTCTATCTTGTAGTGCAATGCTGTAACTTTTTCGTTTGATTCTAAGCTTATGGCCTCTGCATCGGCCGACACAACGGTGGCGCTATGGGAATTGTATCCTCCTCGAACATAAAATCGATCTGATGTATTTAGGTTTTGTTTGGGAGAGCTTATTTACAACTTTTTCGAAATCTTCTTATATGATTAAACACTTGTACAAGTCTGAGGAAGAGTTTATGAAAGTAAATTTTGAATTATTTAGATAAATTATTTTTAACTTAATAATGTTGTCCTAAATAGTTTGGGAAAACACTTTAGGATTCCATTTCTGTTTATTTTGAGAAAGTATTTTCTAATTTTTATAATATTTATTTTAAGGAAAAATACTATCGAATGCCACATAGGCACTTTTTTAAGAGTTTAAAAAGTAACTCTTTTGGAAAATGCATTTATTCAATGTATTGTAAAATGAAATAATTGATTTTTTTAAAAAAATATTATTTATTTAAAATTCTAGTGTAGGAAGGATACTCATTATTAATAAGAAGTTGTAAGATTCTTAAAATAAATATTTTTTTGAGGTAAAATGAATATTAGTTAGAGATGAAAACAATAAAAACAATTTTATAACATTTTCATTAGTTAAAAAATATACAATTATTCATTTTAAGAGTCTAGTATCACTGTCAATAAATAAATTAATATAACTTTAAGAAATGAATTATTAGTAAATAAAATTAAGGCAATCATAAGATACGATAGTAATAGACAAAGTTTTCTGAAAAATATGAGCCATTATGAATATAACTATCACATTTATCGTAAAAATAGTTTATAAATGAAGTATAAACCGTTAATTAGCCTCCTCCTTGGTTATCAACTATAAATAAGCTAATTTTGCAACTAAAATTGAAAAAATAAATTATAAACTACTTAAGGTATCTTATTAGAAAATGCTCCTTCTTGGTTATCATCACATAATCAAATAGCTTGAATGTATCTAAATGCCATATGTCGTGTTCAAACAGATGAGGAAGTGTGAGACGTGAGTTGTGTCGTACTCTAAAAGTGTGAGACGTGAGTTGTGTCGTACTCTAAAATTTGACCATCATTTACCATTTATTAGGTTAACTTCAGTGATCAAAAAAGTCAAAGAAGAACCATTTTGACTTTTCAATTCTTTTTAAGGGTTTGGTTTTAATTTAGGGATATTATATAGATTATTTGAAATAATAAAATTTATGAAATTTATATTTATGTGTCATAGCAGGAGGAGCAAAGATAATAAGGTGTCTGAGAATAGTTTGAATGTAGTCAAACTGTTACATGTCGTGTTCAAGCAGATGAGGAAGTGTGAAATGTGTCGTACTCTAAAATTTAACCATTATTTACCATTCATCAGGTCAACTCCAGTAACCAAAAAAGTCAAAGAAGGACCATTATATAAACAAATTTTATTATATAAAAATTATGAAATTATGCGTATTAATTTTTAGGATTAGAAATTAGAACAATTTCTCCTATTAAAATATATCATTTTAAATAAATATTATTAAGTGTTTTATCTGCTCATAAGAATTATAGATTTTAATATTAAAAAGAATATATTAACATTAGTATTATAGATTTTTTATAGGATGGTTAAATGGGTTAGGTTAACATTAGTATTATGTTTATTAATAGTATAAAATTGGGTTATATTATTATTAATGGGAAATAATATTGGAATTAATTAGGATTAAATTATTTTTAATCAAATTATTATTATATTGATGAAAGTATTAATTGGACTTTTTAAAGATTAATTATTCAGTCAGTGTCATAGTGGGGATATTAGGATATCAATATTATTAATAATTAATATTATATATTAATACTATTAGTAGTATTATTATTAATATTGAATTATTATTATTAGAATTATTATTCATTAAGTACTATTAGTTCTTATTATATTATTCATAGTATTATCATTAGTCTAATTTTATTGTACTATTATTATTAGTTGAAAATTCGAAATCCAAGTCGTGCAAAGTATTTTTGTTTTGGAATATGAGAAAATCTGGCCAAACTGATGGCCAGATTAGGCTGACCTAAACTCACAACCCAAGTGGGTCAGGCGAAGATCCAAAGTCCATCCTTGAACTGGATCAAACACATGAACCAGACTTATTTCCAACTTCCCAATCCAAACCCTAAACGCCCAGAAACGAAAAAATGAATCAAAGATTGCAAAGGCAATTTCAATCAAATTAAAATCTTTAATAATTTCACAAATCAAAATCAAATTACAGTACAATCAATCAAATCTTTAAGAATACAACAAATTATATTACAAATCAGATCAAAACTTTGAATCTGTTACAAATCAAACTCCAACCTAAAAGTTTACGAAATCAGATCAAATCCTAAAATACACTAAACTAATTAAAGCCTAAACCCTAAAAAATAATATAAATACAAGAATTTTCAGTTGAAGAGGGAGGACCCTAAGAACTTGGTCGCTGCTGCAAATCCCTAACCTACATCAGAATGCTCTGATTCATAAAAGTAATTAGGGTTTCAGTAACATCACTGATCGAAGGACCTTGCATACACAGAAAAAGAAAAGATTAGACGAAGAAGATGGACACAATCAAGGGTCAATAGAGAGACTTTCCTTTGGACACAAGGACACATGCAACTTGATGTGAACTAGAAAGTTCCATCACTGGGAATAACTTGAAAAAGTTGGAGAAATAAAGCAAGAACATGTAACAACATGTAACAATAATCAAGATCAACATTTAACATCTTAACAAAGATAAAAAAGCAAAGAGGTAACAACCATCAACGCAAGTAAAGCACATGTGTAACAACAACAAGTTCATCTATAACATTCAAACAAGATTAATGCAAACAAGTGACAACTTGAATCAAGCATGTTATAAGGATCAAATGAGATCAAATGTAACAACATAAGACCAACTAAGCATGTATTGATGACAATCAAAAAAGAAAGAATACAAGAAATGTTACAATAGTTCAAGCATGAATTCATGATTTCATGGGGAGAAGTAAACAAGTTTCATGGTAATAACCAAGTTAACAATCAAACCCTATCATGTTATGGTTCTAACAAGACACATAACAAAGTAGAATGAAGCATGACAAGCATATTCAATAGGTCACAACATCAAGAATCATGTCAAAGTTCACGGGTGAAATTCAACAGGCCATTTTCACATATATACATTCATAAAAACAAGTATGAACATGGTAAGGAAATGAATCAAACATATTTGGACATTTTAACATGTTAAAAAACATATATGAATCATACAAGACAAATCTCACAAATCAAGTTACAAGTTGAAAAAGTTCAAGAACGTCATGGAAAAAACCCTAAAACACATGTTATTCAAGTGGATCAAAGTCTTTATAGGATAACAATCCTTGAATTATTTTTTCACTTAATGAAAATAGACATTATAAGGAGCATTTTAAAAAAATAATGGCATCAATAGCACAAAAAATGAGCAAGTTATGATCATGGAAAGTTGGTGTACTAATGAGGGCAAAACTAAGGCAAGGCAAGGTCACAACCTAAGGCCAATTTGCAAGAAGATTAGAAATCAGTCAAATCTTAACCAAATGAGGTGAAACAAAATTTAAAATTGTGTATTTTCGAACAAGGAATTAAATGGTACCATTTGGTTTTCCATATCATACACTCACAAAAAAAAAATTCGATAGCATCAAGGTTTTGACATCTTTGGTCACAACCAAATGCAAGAACATATGGACAGTCATGTGTAGGGGTGTGCTTGGTGAAACAAGTGTACAAACATCACATATACATCATATATAGAGGTTAGTACAAAAGAAATCAAGAAATGCACACATGGTTTGACAGATTGGATGCATCATGCAAAAAATGACTAGGTTGGACCTAGTTTGTGACCTGGTTTTTTGACAGTCCAAAAGTTACAAGTTTTGCTGCAAGAAATGGTTCATACATGACACATAACATACATAAAACATGTTCAAACAATGTACAACACAAAATCCTAGATAGAAGTCATAATGGCATGTGAAATGCAAGTGAAAAGTTCACATTTATGAGTTTTAGGCTTACCTCTTGTAGCAACCTTGAGCAATAAGAAAACCAGAGATTTTGAGAGCTTTTCTAAGGTCTGAAAATTCTCCAAGGATGATGAATATGTTCTCCAAGTAACCCTCAAACCAGTTGGTGGGCATAATGCCTTGTAAGTGAAGAAAAAATTCCAAATTCCAAAGATTTCCAAAGCCAACTCACTCAATCCTTGTTTCAGAATTGTGGAACCATCATGGACAGTTTATATATGTTACTTATGAAGTGTTAGAGGTCTTAGAGAGTGTGGAAGTTCAAGGGATCAGTGGCTGCTCTCTAAAGTGTAGAAAAGTCAACAAAAGAGGTTTCAATCATTGACTTTTTGATTGGACGAGTTTTTGGCCAAGGTGAGGGTTTGGAAAGCTCTAGTGCATCATTTTTGATGTGTTTGGAATGTGGTTTGAGTTGGAAAGTGTTTGGAAAAAGGTTTTAGAAGTGAAAATGCAAGGCAGATTTTGTGCATTTTTGGAAACTTAATGAGATTTTACAAGAACTTTGCAACTGAGAAAATGAGAGATTTTCAGCTGGTCTCAATCATGGGACTGGTGTGTTTTGGATGTAAGAGGTGAGTTATATTTATAGCCAAGGGCCTTGGATCAAGGTATGGGCAGAAGTGAAGCAAATTGCCAAGTTTAGCCTTCCATCATGAAAATCTTAGAGTTTTTCAATGCAATCTCCATCTCTGACCTCGAGCCACTATACCAAGAGCTTATCCAAGCCCTATAGGTTATTTTAATCATGCTTGAGAGGGTAAGAGGTGACTGGTTGCATCTAAGTTGATGATGTGAAGAAGGGCAGCCACCATTTTTCTCTTTCTACATTATTCATGCTTGCAACTTGTATTAAACAATTATTTCTTTTATTTCTTATGCCAGTTTCATGGGAGTTGATGTTAAGCATGTATATTAACCATGTAAACATAAAAAATGAGGCTTAGTCTTCGATTAGAATTGATTTGGGAAGCTTTGGAATCACAACACTCATGTTGAACTAGTTTTGCA